AAGTCTAGAAATGAGGCGGAGGAAGCCGTGTCTGTTGTTTCTTTAATTTCTAGTTCTGGGGGATATATTAATGGAACCCAATCAGAAAAGTTCGGATTGTTAATGGAAAGAACATCATCAATATATCTAAAAGTGAAATTAAATAATCTGGCTTCTTTGATCTTCTTGTTTTTGACAAGTGTCTGAAGGAACTCCGACTCATATGAAAATAAGAAGAGGTCGGCAAGGAGAGGCGCACAGTTCGTTCCCATAGGAATGCCGACAATTTGTTGAAAAAGTCTACCTCCAAATTCAACAAATATGTTGTCGATAAGAACTCCAGCATACCGACCACCCGTTCTTCTGTGTAGCATGTTTTACCCTTTTGTTCACTATTAACAAAATATGCCTTATGATATCCCAAAGTAATAAATTTATAGCGTATGCTACCATTTTTATGATGAAAGGCATTGTGGATTATTTCTTTCAAGCGATTTTTCAATTTCACATGGGGAATGGTGGTATACAGGGTTGAAAAATCAAAAGTTTTGATAGAACTAATCTCAGAAAAAGACCGAGATTTAAAATTATCTAGAAGTTCTTTAGAATTTTTAAGAATCCACATATGGTTAATACCACTACGCGAGTAAACAGTTTCACAGTATTTATGAAGGAACAACTAAAATTAGCTCTCTAACCTTAACCTGGTCGGTAGGCTTTCAACACAGTAGACAATGAAACGTATTAGCTACTTCTAGCTTCGGTAATTTTTCTATGTTGTGTGCTCCTATATATAAGCTCATATGAGAATAACGAAATCAGAGATCTACATTTTAATTAGATTGCTGTTGTTTCCAACCTCTTTTTGAAGATAATCTTTAACTTCGTGTCAATTGTAGGTCAATTTATGCTCAATAAGGCATATATGTGTGTAAAATGGAGTGATTAACTTGTTTCTAATTATCATTTTGTTTACATACATATATATATTGACAGAAACCTTCCCCCTTTCCACCGTTTGCAGTCTTTCTTATTTCTATAAAGCAAAAATATACTCAGACCTGTTAATTCAATCCAATTTGCGTTAATATTACACCTGTTGTAGGACTAAGCACTGCTGGTGGACGTTTCGTCCCCGAGGGTATCACCAGCCCAGTAGTCAGCACTTCGGTGTTGACATGAATATCAATTATGTGGTCATTTTATAAATTTCCTGTTTACAAAAGTATGAATTTTTCGAAATACTAAGGATTTTCTTATCCCAGGCAGAGATTTCCTTAGCCGTATTTGCCACAACTTTTTGGATTTTTGGGTCCTCAATGCTCTTCAACTTTGTACTTGTTTGGCTTAATAACGTTTTTGACCTGAGCGTCACTGATGAGTCTTATGTAGACGAAACGCGCGTCTGGCGTATTAACTTATAATCCTGGTACCTTTGATAACTATTATGTGCATACACACTCACCAAAAGAAAGTTGGACATTTACCAAGAAAAATCTACGAACACCTATCAAAAGACGGAAAAATAACATTTTGGGAGGGCAACTTATGAATGTTAATATATAAAAAAAAACATCTCTAGAGATCACTTGTATCGATTCTTAGGTAAAAAAAATCCGAATTTGGAAATTTAAATTGGTCTAGGTCACTGTTACTAAAAAGCTGAATGAAAATTGTAAATGTGCACCCTATAAGTACAAATGCCAATCTCGAACCATATTTGGCAACATGAATATCAAATTAGTCCTAGATATAGAAACTTAAGGTATAATCCTTTGAATTATTTAAATTTATTTTGCTATAAATGCATATATGTAGGGGCGGCCAGCTGTCTAAACCTGACTCTGTGTTTTCCTTGAAATTAAAGCTTTGACCTTTGGCCAAAATTTAAGAAAATCGTGACTACTGTAGACAACGACGACATCAATATATCGATGAGGCTTGTTCTACTCTTTCCAATAACACCAAATACGGATGAGTTTTAATCTGTTTACACTAATCGATACAATTCGTTGACTGGGCACCCTACTATAGTACCAATGTATTGATACTTAATATCTAAACTTAAGCTCAGTATTCTTTTGTTCTGTATACACACTCTAATAAGGATTTGTTAGCTATCAGGAACCGTACGGCATACGTTTTCTAATATTTATAAAACATACTATTTTAGTAAAAGTCTGATAATTTATAGCCAGATATATATAGATATATATATTGCTTGAACGGTATTTTGTTGAAGACTGTTTGTTATATATTGTTATTTTTGTCAAAGAATTACTACCTGATCGAAATATACCCAATATTTTATTATCATTTTTTTATGTTCATAGTATTGTTTGTCGGATGATAATTTAGAGTTAGAGCCATCGAATGTCTATGCTTTTTTTCAAATGTAACTACCATAAAGGAACAATGTGACCTTTTGAAATACAATTTTGCAACAGGATAAGGTGTGCAAATCTAAAAGGCTACATTTTCAAATTCATGTCTGACTTTTTTGGTGGCCAAATATTATTTTGTTAAAATACCAGTACATTAAACTCCGCAAATTTATTTGCAATCTGACGATAAGCATTTCAATGATATTCTCTTACGTCTTTTTAAACTTTGAACTAACACTAAGTCGTTGTTTTGTTTCATTTAACACGAAACTATGATATATTTAACAAGTAGAAAAGTAGTAGGATTCCCAATAAGACAAATTTCCAAAAGAGCGAACGTTTTAATGCTGTATCTTTTTGTAGAAAAATAATTGCTTGGTGAGCAAATGTAGTTGATATTTCAATTGTGTAGAATGACCAAAATATTTGTAACTAAATGGAAAATTGTGATGATTGTAGTAGAAGAATGTAGAGAAGTTTTTACTATCGTATGAATGAAACGCGGGTGAGTACATCTTAATATATGGAAGGAAATGTCAATAAGACCTTTTGTTTGCTCATTCGTTAAACATGAATGAGAGGATGATATATATTTTTCACCGAGTTCTAACTGTATGAAATGTAAAATAATTCAAAACATTATGGCATTTCTACCCAAAGGCATATGTAGCCATAGCCGTATTTGGCATAAATAAAGGCAACAGTAGTATACCGGTGTTCGAATGTCATTAATCGATTGAGAGAAAACAAATCCGGGTTACAAACTAAAACAGAGGAAAACAAATCAACTATAAAAGGAAAACAACGAAACAACAGAAACACTGAAGTGCAACAAAAACCCAAACGACAATGTAACACACACAGAAACGAACTATAAGATAATGACTGCCATTTTCCTGACTTGGTACAGGACATTTTAAGAAAAAATGGTGGGTTAAACCTGGTTTTAATGCTAGCTAAACCTCTCACTTGTATGACAGTCGCATCAAATTCCATTATATTGAAAACGATGTGTGAACAAAACGAACACAATAGGTAAAAGTGTCACAAAAAGGGGTACAACAGCAACACGAACCCCAACAAAAACTGGAGGTGATCTCAGGTGCTCCGGAAGGGTAAGCAGATCCTGCTCCACATGTGGCACCCGTCGTGTTGCTCATGTTATTACAAAACCCGTAAAAAGTCTAATTCGGTAGGAGCCGGGAACGGGATTGTAGTTACGACATAAGGAACATATCCGATATCATCTGTGAAACGGTCAACCAACTCGTGATGGCGTCCGTAAATTTTACGGAGTGATGATTTCCAGTTTTGAACTAAAAATGGAAAGGTCACAATTTGGAAGCTGAAATCATCTCTTTTGTCGTAAAGTGTTGTTTTCAACGAACCCTCATTGTCAAATTCTAGATGTAAGTCAAGATATGAGGCAGGCTTAACTGTAAAACGGAAAGTCCCTAATCAAATGGCAAAATCAAAAGCTCAAACACATCAAACGAATGGATAACAACTGTCATATTCCTGGCTTGGTACAGGCATTTTCTTATGTAGAAAATGGTGGATTGAACCTGGTTTTGTAGCTAGGCAAACCTTGCGCTTTTATGGCAATGTTAAATATAACACTAAAAGTACAACATTACATGACAGGACTACAGTACAAATAAATGCAAGAACATTCAGGACAGAGAAATACACAAATAAACAATACAATAACATGAATAATACATTTCGACATGCTAATAATTATCAAAGGTACCAGGCTTATAATTTAATACGCCAGACGCGGGTTTCATCTACATAAGACTCATCAGTGACGCTCAGATCAAAATAGTCAGAAAGCCAAACAAGTATTAAGTAAAAGAACATAACAAATTTACAAAGTTAAAATTTGGCATCTCTGATTATGATTTATATCAATTGAAGTAAAGATTTTAAGTACTACGGATGTAACATGGATATGGTCATTGTCCTGTGTTATGTAAAAAGAAGAGAAAATAAACCCTCCAAAATTGTGATCTTTATAAATCTTTTCTTTTGAGAAAGATACATGAGCAACACGACGGGTGCCACTCGTGGAGCACCTGAGATCACCCCCAGTTTTTGTAGGGGTTCGTGTTGCTTAGTCTTTATTTTACTATGTTGTGTTTTTGTGTACTATTGTTTGTCTTTTTGAATTTTGCCATGGCGTTGTCAGTTTTTTTTCGATTTTTTAGTTTGAATGTCCCTCTAGTATCTTTCGCCCCTGTTCTTTACACCTGTTCATGTTGGATTCCCAAATTTGCATTTAGCAAAATGATAAATCGTTGATTAATTTGCTTGCACTTTCCTTATTTTGAGGTATTGTCTTCGGATGTATCTACCATTAACATACCGTTCCCTTCCAAGGTTGAAAACTGGATATTTTTATATTAACGACTTTTGTCTATCCACTACTTGCGATGTTTATTATGGAATATATCAGAGTCCCCCTTTTTAACATTACCAGCAGGTTTGTGTGTAAATTGAAAAATGAACAAGATCCATTCGAAGTTTTAGGATTTAAATCCTTGAGATGTGAAGGTCTCTCTTACGATTGAAAAACTTTCATATAATGGAAACGGTATGAGAATACCAAATGACAGTTGAAAGATTTATTTTTACCTTTTAAGTCGTTCTAAGTCACCATGTACACAAGCCATTACAATACAATGTTTTCTTTCTTTGGCATTCGTCGGGATTGGTAAATTCTACAAATGAATATTTATAAAATCAAAATGGCACCTCAAAACTATTCTCAACTTACTAACAGCACAAACATAATCAACAAATAATCCAGTTAAATAAAGATAAGATATAATCAGGTTCAACCGACCATTTTTTTTCTTTAAATGTCCTGTACCAAGTCAGGAAAAAGGCAATTGTTATCTTATAGTTCGTTTCTGTGTGTGTTGCATTGTCGTTAGTTTTTGTTCCACTTCAGTGTTTCTGTTGTTTCGTTGTTTTCCTCTTATAGTTTATGTGTTTCCCTTGGATTTAGTTTGTAACCCGGATTTGTTTTCTCTCAATCGATTTATGACTTTCGAACAGCGGTATACTACTGTTGCCTTTATAAGTCGTTTCATCCACCTTAATATATTTCTAAATTGATCCCGAATGATGCCTGAACTATTGAAACATGTGAAATACCTGATGGGTGTATTTCATGTCATCTTCAGATGCAAGAACAAAATATAGAGCTGTAATGTCATTGATTTATAGACAATTGGTTTCTGTAATTGAACTAAACACTTCGCGTGCAAAATTTTTGATTTGTTCAAAAAGAGAGGCAAATGATACCAAATTGAAATTCAAACTCATTGTTTGAAAATAAACTGCCAACGCCATGACTAGAAAGAAAACAGACAAACAGACAAACAACAGTACACAAAACACAACATAGAAAATCAAAGACATAGCATTAAGAACCCAACCTAACACTGAAGGTAAGCTGTTGTCAGATCCGGAAGTGTACCCAAATCCTGTAGAGTTATCAACATGTTGCACCCGTCGTAAACAGCTTTTCTCAATCAGTCTACCAATTTTTGGTATAAATGTTGTTTCTGGCTTATTAACAGGGTGTGTTTCTTAAACAACGGCTTATTAATAGTTATGAGGAAAAACTACGGAAATCCGCGCCGTATAAGAGTGAACGTCACCATCACGACCAACATTTTTTTCCATCTTCATGATCAGATACCGGAACAGTCGTCTGATCTATAATTTTACTGAGAGGTCCTTATTCCTAACTGTGACATTTCGTTGACTGTGAATGGCGGTTGATGAATGCATACAGGAAGATACTCACCCTTTTAACGCACCCGGTCTCGCTACTTTTGGAATTGATGCAACTCCATCAGAATTTGTTCGTTCTCTTATTTTATATTTTCTAACCAATTTATGAGATTTGAACATCGGTAAACTACTAACTACTAATTAACAGCTTAACTTTTTCCTATGATTATTCTATTCTAGGACATTTTAAGTCGACTAGCTCTCCATCTGTTTCGGTTTTCATACATCCGTAGCTTTCAAATATTCAGTTTTGATGAAGGTTAATTCACAAAAGTGCTTCGGACGCATAATATTTTCAAAACGTTTTTTTTTTTAGATTTTTAGAACAACGTGTACCACTGTCGTCTTTTAAAATTTATTACCCTGAAAGAACACAATTCTTACTGTTTCGTACCGGACAATAATCCAGAAACATTTTGAGTATATGTTCTCTTCCTTCTTTCATGGCTGCTTGAAACGGTGTTTTCCTCCACCTAAATAATTGATCAAATTAATAAATTTAAATTCAGTGAAACACACATCTACTCGCCTGCCTTCAATCAACAGCTATAATACTCATTGTGAATTATATTTCGGTGAGTGTAGAATATAAAATAAGGAGATTGGCTATTTTTACAATTGATACACTGATGAAACAAAGTCTAAAAAATCTTATTTTAGCAGTTACAGATATCGGAATTCATCTGGGCACTAACTGTGCCTTACTTATTGCGGAAATTTTGCCCTCAAATAATCTGTATTTAAGCATTTACAGGCATCGGGATTACAATGGGGACTTACTGTGCACCACCAATTGCGGATCTGTTTTTGTATTGGTACCAGTTACAATTTATGACTAAAATCAGCAAAGATCTGATACAAAAATTGTATAACACTATAGTTGGATGACCTATTGGCTCAAAATATTGACGACTTCAGTATGCACACTAAATATTTATCCTGCTGACTTTAAATAAAGCTAATACTAACATTGAACACTAGCCTTTTCTGGATCTTGATACATTTTGCTTTAACGGGAAGCTTAATACAAAATTATACGATTAAATAGACGATTATGAATAGTTGTCAAAGGTACCAGGATTTTAATTTAACACACCAGACGCCCGTTTCGTCTTCATAAGACTCATCAGTGACGCTCAGATCAAATAGTTATAAAGCCAAAAAAGTACAAAGTTGAACACCGGTATACTACTGTTGCCTTTATTCATCATTTCCTATTGTAAATTATCCAATGTTAGATAGTGGCACAATCTTATAATGTTCATATATCACATTTTGTATCTGTCGTCTATATGACAACGTTTTCGCTTTCAACGAAAGAATTTTTCGTATTGCTGAAAAATTATTAAACCACGGTTTTCGATATCACAACTTGTCAAAACATCTACTAAATTGTATCATCAGTACAAGGACATCATTCGTAAATAAAAATCAACATGCAGACATCTTATGCATTCAGGTATTTCACATTCAATCTTTGATTGTAATATTCTGTACAAAACACAAAAAAGTCGTCACTCACCTAAAAAGGTAACCATACTTTTATACTGACTTATTCAGAAGGGATATACATGTAGTTACGAAACTGTTGTTAGGTCACTAAAGATGTCATTTTATGGAATTAATATTTAATTTCTCATAGGGTCTTTGCATCATATTTATTCTATAACCTGTTGCATTATACGAGTTATAAAATTGAGAATGGGAATGGGGAATTTGTGAAAGAGACAACAAGCCGACCAAAGAGCAGATAACAGCCGATATAGTCTTTTCGTATGTTTTTTTATGGTATGGAAATACACCCCTAACGGGAGGGATTTTGCCTGATTTCATAAGATGAAGATATTATCCTACAGTCATTTTACATGAGGTCTATCGGTAGCATGTTAGTTACTGCTAGTAGTTTTTTGTTAATCTATTTTGATCACTGTCATTTGCTTAGTTTCATCTATTTCCTATTCTAACATCGGACTCAGACTTCTTTGAAACTGAGTTTTAATGTGAGGAACTGTTTGCAAAAGTATAAATTATTCGAAATACTAAGGATTTTCTTATCCCAGGCAGAGATTACCTAAGCCGTATGTGGCACAACTTTTTGGAATTCTGGGTCCTCAATGCTCTTCATCTTCATACTTGTTTTGCTCTCTAACTATTTTGATTTGAGCGTCACTGATGAGTCTTATGTAGACGAAACGCGCGTCTAGCGTATCAAATTATAAGCCTGGTACCTTTAATAACTATTTCCTGTTTGTTTATTCCACATTGGCTAAAGGTATAGGGTTGGATATTTTAAAAAACATGTTTAACCGCGAAAACTTTTAGTCAGCTATTAAAGTTCCCGATATGACAAAACGTTAAACAATTAAAAAAAAAAAAAAAAAAAAAAAAAAAAAAAACCATCAACAAAATAACCAACAACCCTAGAAAACAGTGGCCTAATTTTTTGCATTGCCAGTTTGTTTTTACTTAAAAAAAAGTCTGTAGCTTCGCGTAATTAATACTTTGTTAAGATTAAACCATATAAACCTAAAAGGGTAAAACTGAACAAATCAAATATTATGAACATACGAAACGTTATTAAAACAACTGTCATATTCTTGTTTTCGTACAGACATTATCATTAAAAAGTGTAGCTAACTATATGTCCCACTTGTATAACAGTTGTTTAAAGTGCAGGTTTATTTTATAACATGGATGAGCAACGGAAACAGTCATTATAGGCTTATGTTCTAATATTTGGATCAGTCAGCCACAACTGTGTACAAATAGACATTCAACTGACAACAAATCAAACAAATATAAAAATAAATCTAACAAATACGCCATCAAAAACGATGCCATTGTTGATAGCAAATTTGACAAAGTTGGAAAAAAAGTGCCAAAATAAAAGAGATGAATGAGACCCTGAATGTAACTAATCTTTGAATCATACCAAATTAGTTATTAATCATTATGATGTTATTATCTAGGCTGTTAAGTATAGTCAGCTCAGTTTAGGTATCACTTTGACGTCATACACATGTTAAAATTGAGAATGCAATTAGCATTGATATATTTTACTTAACTTGTCCATTTATAAAACAAAGATGATTAATTGCCAGGGCCTTAAATTGGCATTAGTTACGATTTAGACAAAAATAGAACATACGAATCGTTTTGTTTAAAGTATTTATAAAAGCGGAATTTGAAATGATATTTCGTTATATTAAAGCAATTAGTTTGGCTCAAGTTGATCGAAATAAGCTAAAAAAATATCACTTATGTATTATTGACTTGAATCCGTTTATTTTGAAATTTGAAATTTTCGCCACCTTAGGAGCAATATACCAACTTCACCTGCAAAAGGGATATACCTTTCCGAACTCAAGCAGTAGTCAGAAGTAAAATCACAAAAATACTGAACTCCGACGAAAATTCAAAAAGGAAAGTCCCCAATCAAATGGCAAAATCAAAAAAACAAACACATCACACGAATGGATAACAACTGTCATATTCCTGACTTGGTACAGGCATTTTCTTATGTAGAAAATGGTGGATTGAACCTGATTTTAAAGCTAGCTAAACCTCTCACTTGTATGACAGTCGCATCAAATTCCATTATATGCAAGAGCTTGCAGTTGCTACTCAAACTTTATTTAAGTCACCATTGTCTGATCAGATCATGAGTTCATGAGCCAAAGATATGTCGAAGGAAGTCTTTTCTGTAAAATGTTTATTAACGGATGATAACTATTCCGTATAGTCTTCAAAAATAATACATGTTGGTCTTAAAGTATAGATACTAGGTACTGCCGTTGTTTATCATCGAAAGTACGTGTTATAGTGCTCTATTTATTTGTACTTATATACATGTAACCTTTACTGTTTGGTGCATTTTTGGTTATATACTATTGACGAGGCTCTGTACTTATACATCCCGCCATTGTGTTATTGTGCTATGGTCAATTTTGAATTCTCGTCTTCTATTTTTGCTTATGTATTCTGTCTATATAGTGGCTATATGCCATTTTGTGTTTCTTTGTTGTCATAGTAGTCTTTTTGTATAGTGATTAAGATTATAAACTGTTATCACAGAGATATGTCTCGCCTTTTTGTAATTTTGATAATGCAAATGTTGAAATTAAAATAGCAATACTTTAACATGTAATTTATGCAAATATTCAAATTCGATGAACCATGACTGAAGGTACATGGCTAAACAATCTCCATGTAATGAGATGTGCCAATGCTAATACAACTGCAAACCAAATACCATTGACTTATTATAAGTCGTTCCCTTTAAACAAACCTAAACACAAACATTAACTTGTAAACTATGTAAAAGTTTCAAAGTCAATGAATCATGATCAGGGGTGGAGCTATATAATCTCCATGGACACGATATTTGCAAATGCCAATAAATTTGCATACCAAATATCATTGACTTCACATTAGCAGTTCATCTTAAACTGATCTAATCACAAACTAATACATGTAAACTAAGCAAAAGTTTCAAAGTAAATAGACCATGACTGAGGGGGCGGGGCCAAATACTCTCCATGGAAATGAGATGTGTTAATGCTTATACAACTGAACACCAATTAACATTGGCCTACCACTAATGGTTCCCCTTAAACTGACCTTATCACAAACTAATACATGTTAACGTAGCAGAATTTTCAAAGTCTATAGACCATGACTAAGGGAGCGGAGTCAAATAATCTCCATGGAAATGAGATATGCCAATGCTTATACAAGTGCATACCAGATATCATTGACCTACCACTAGTGAATCCCCATAAATTGACCTAATCACAAACTAATACATGTAAATTATGAAAAGTTTCAAAGTCAATAGACCTTGACTGAGGGGGCGGGGCCAAATAATCTCCATGGTAATGAGATGTTCCAATGCTAATACAACTGCATACCAAATATCATTGACCTACCACTAGTGGTTCACCATGAACTAGACCTAATCACAAACTAATACATTGTTGACGCCGCCGCCGACGCCGGAAACAGCATACCTATGTCTCGCTTTTTGACTCCGTCCAGGCGAGACAAAAACAATGCTGACAGCTATACCTCATGTTTTTATGTTATTACCTACTTTGTCTTTGTTTGGCTAACTGTCATAAGAAACAAGTCAGGAATATTACAGTTGTTTTCCATTCGTTAAGTGTTTTTAAACTTTTGATTTTGCCATTTTATAAAGGACTTTTCGTTTTGGATTTCGGTGTTTTTCTGATTTTACTTCTACTACAAACAAGTCGATGTCAAGTTTCTACCTAGAAGCAACTTTACTGCTGATGGATTATTCCCGATGGCGTCACTAACTTGGTAGCTTAATGCATGATGAATAATAGTAATACAAAGAACAAACTGGCTAGGATGTCGGTTGTGTTACCAAGGTCTAATTTCGCTACACGGAACACTGTAGCATTTGATTTGTATGTTCCGAGGAACATGCTTGGCAATATCCCTGATTTGACTAATGTACAGCCAGAAAGGAATAAGTACTTTAAAAATTCTAATACTTTTCACATAAGATTAAAACTATGTACTGAAATTTTTTTCGACTGTTTAATTGTTTAAAGACACCATGTATTAGTGAATCCACTCCTGTCATTTTACGTGTAAACATAAAAAAGGAAAGAAAAGCACATGTAAGACATGTAAAGCACTTCTGCAGATTTCGCTAGCAGCTTAACATTGAAATCGTACAAAAACATTTGAGTCTCTGGACTGTTCTCCGGACAGTGTCATTTACTGAATTGAGCTTATTTATGTTGATGAAACTCAACAAACATTAAGTAAAAGAATTAATCAACACCGGTTTGATAATAAAGATCCACAATTACGGTGCTTTATATTCATTTTAATCAAACAGACCATGATCCTCCTTTATCTATGAAAGTATGTATCATTGAGAAAAATGTTAACCACACCAAAAACCCTATAGTAGATAGTAATTTATTGAAGGTTAAGAATGTTGCAGAATGCGAATATTTAAATAGTTGTCTATGTTGGTAAATATTGTATTTATTAAATTGTTGTAGTTAGACCTTTTTACAATTTGTTTAACTTTATATATCAACATAGAAGATAATGTCACATGTCCTAACGTGTTTGCAGTTTAACAATTTTTAACTGTAGTATACTTCCACTTCTAGTTTTTTATTTTGTACTATAAGTCTATAAACTTTTGCACCACTTAAGACGGTTCTGGATAAAGGTAAATCTAAAAAAGCGATGGCAAATTGGAATGTGAGTTTAATGTCAATGAAACAGCAACAAGACGACATAAAATACCAAAGTAACATGAAAAATACATCAAACAGACTGCAAAACTAGACATATATGTATATGATATGTCGAACCTTACTATTCCAGAGACTATAACATTTTGAAATTAATCAAACAAACTCCTCGGCTTATCTCAAATTCGTACATTATTTGCCTTTTTGAACTTTATTATGATGAGTCTTTTGCAGACAAAAACGATTGCCTGGTTAACACAGTTTTTATACTGGTGTCTATGATGAGTTTATTTACAAGTATTCAATACTTGTAAAACAAAACTAAAACCAGTATCAAATGTGAATAAAAAATTAATCAATATAATTTATATATATGAAGGACTAAAATCTATGGTGGGTTCCAGATCTATGGCAGATTCCAAATCTATGGTAAATTTGACGTCATGCCATCCTAAATCTATGGCAGATTTTTTAAAATTCTTATCTATGGCAAGTTTTGTAATTTCCTAATCTATGGCGGATTTTTATTGTTTCCAAATCTATGACAGATTTTGTGCAAATGGAGAACAAGGCAGTACATATACGATCAATGACTTGTCTTAAAAAAGTGGAAATGTACGACAACGGGAGCATGTCTATAAACATTTGTGAGATAAACATTCCATAATGGTCAATCAAATCGTGAAGGCAACCATAAAGTAGATAGTGTAGAAGTGATATACCATAATAAACACTTCAGGATTAAAATGAGCATTTCTTAATCTGTGCATGGTACCTGTTTTATCCATTTATTAAACCAACTAGTAAAATGGAAGTCCCTTAACACAAAAAGAAAGCAGCTTTTCTATAAAAAGAATTAAACAGTTTGACTTTTCACATAATATTTATTTGAGCGTTAATTAATCTTTTTTAACTGATGACGATTTAAGTCAAAGTGGTATAGCCTGTAATTTCATCTCTCACTTTATATACTTTGCCAGCCGTAGACGCTAAAATATTTACTATCACTCCTTTCCTAAAATATCCACTACTAAAACAGCGGTGCCTTTCTTCATCGCGAAATACGGACGATACAGCACATATTGTCCCTCCTCTGAATAAAAGGTCACACCATCGGCAAATTGTTCTATCTAGAGGGAAAGCGGAAAATGTTTCTCTGTGTATTTGTTTGTAAAAATATGTGAGCCCCGTGTTAACTATCTGTTTTTAATTTACATTCTACAAATAAAAAAATAATCTATATAAAATGGTGTTCAAATCCATGGGTTCCGCCATCGTTAGCGGCGACGACGACGCAATATGGCGTTATTTAATCGTGACGTTATATGTTACTCTTTTTCCCGGAAAATTACAAGATCTGCCATAGATTTGGAAAAAACAAAAAAACTGCCATAAATTTAATTTGTTTGGCGTTTGTAACGTCATATTTGCCATAGATTAGGAATCTGTATTAGATTTGGAACCCGTCATAGATTTGAGTCCTACATATATAATATAAGAACTATATGGCTAATTTTGAATGCTAAATCAGACGTTGTTGCCGTATGATATACAATATAACTAAACTGTGCGAAGACCTATATAAGACGGAGAAATGTTGTACTGACAAATCATTTGCAAATACAATTTGAACATTTCAACCTTTGAATATACAAATATTATTTACGCGTCAGCCTGTACTGGTTAGTGGAAACTAGAACACACAAAACAACTTAGTAAGAATTTTGATTTAAATATTTACTAATTTTCTGTTTGTGGTATTTCATCTTATAAAGTCTATTCCAATTATTTTGCCAAGAATTTCGCTCAAAGCGATGGTAGGGGTAGTCTACAACTTGAAGAGAGTGAGAGTATTTTTGCTCCATGTCGATGCACTCACTGTTACTTTGAGATAAAAGACAGAAATAAAAGCTCTGTCCCTTTGCTTTTTGAATGTATTTTGTTGTGCATAGATATAAGAAGATGTGGTATGAGTGCCAATGAGACAACTCTCCATCCAAGTCACAATTTATAAAAGTAAACCATTATAGGTCAAAGTACGGTCTTCAACACGGAGCCTTGGCTCACATCGCACAGCAAGCTATCTAAACATCATAATATATAATTAACAATTATGTATGATTTTATGTCATGGATGGATACTCCGTATCCTTTGTTTTTCTATCAGATAAAATGAATATCTCGAATACGATATAAAAATTTCAATTTCAACAATGTTAATGCAGGTTATTTTGGCAATCACAAAGTAAGGCTGTTTTAGAAATTATTAGAAGTTGTGTTTCGGATTATATATCAAAGAGAGAAAAGATAAAAATCAGAATTCCATTTGCTCTACTTTTTCAAAAACAAATATGTATTGCTTGAACTTTAATTCAGAATTGTAATATAGAGCTCGAGCAGAATAGTATCGTTATTATTTATTCAATAAATTATCTGCATGAAAGGAAATTGAATAACAATTTGAATTTCGTGTGTCCGAAGCGCATCATGAGCGCTGAATTTGAAAATTGATTTAAAATAAATAAATAAATACCTATCATAAACAATTATTTCAACAAATGAAAAACCAAATGGCATATAGACACTCTATAGATAAAGTATATGTGTAATATATTTTACAGAAAGTGTACCTATCTTCAGCTGTGTATGCTTCCTCTGTCAGCCCACAGTCATTCAGTAAAAACTCCACAATATGTTCTTGGTTATTATTCACTGCTATATGCAGTGCTGTTCTTTTGTCATAATCTGAAACCGTCATACAATAACCAACTGCTTTGTATCTATTGAAAATAGCAAAGAATTAATTTGCAATTGATTATACAACAGTTAATAAAGATAATGAAACAAAATAATGACCCTTTTTGCTACTTGAGCTATAAAATCAGAAAAAGTTTTATCTGTTAAACTCCTAACATTATTTGAGCTATGAAATCTGAGAAAATGTTATCTGTTACACTTCTTCACACTATTTAAATAATAATAGAACTTCAATGACTCTATGTTCCTTTTAGCAAATGGGTAAACTTAACCTCAATTTAAATATTTCTTTGTACATACTCAAGTACAGAATCTGCGTTTAAATTCTGTTTTCACTATGGATTTATCGTAACCCTAAGATAAAATTTAACTTTGTTTTTGTTCATGATTAAGTTTTAACTTGCTCCGACCCTCTATTTATATTTAAACTAGGGAATATTATAGTTTTTAATTTAGGGTGCAAACAAGATTGGGAATGACATTAAACGTTTTATTTAAATGTTTTCATCGTTTTGTGGATATAAGCAATAATAAATTGACTTTCATAGCTTTTAACAGTCACTCCCCATTATTTCATTAAATTTAAGGTTCATGTCTTCATGATATAATTAAAACAACGTCTTTGTATACAAATTAATGTTACCACCTTCAGTGTCGATACGAAATAATTATTATGGAGCAAAATCAGGCATGTTTCAATGATATCGTGTATCAACTTAAACAAGGAAAAATGCTACGATCAACGCACTAAAAATTAAAGAATCTGTTCTCTGTCCGGTTAAACAGAAGTTAATGTTAACATAATTCAACCCTTGGTAATATATTTATTTGTTTAAGAAGTTCAACATGGTTTATATTTAACTAAGGATACTAGTTTACCGAAGGATGAAATACCAGGTTCAGGAGTGGCATGCAATGTTTATTTCATACATGTTATCAATAAATCGATTGTATCAGTTAAATAGTTATAGAATTTTAACAAGTTACAGCTTGATATATTTTCATTACTCGTTTCTTATAGCTGACGGTATTATGCTGCTTATTGTCATTGTAGTTGGTGGGTCTCATTGAAATATTTGCATGATCTCTATTTATTCATACATGTAAGTCATTAGCCTATTATGCAGTGGTTGTCGTTTGTTACTGTATTTCACATTTAATTTTCGTTCATTATTTTGTGCATAAATCAATCCGTTAGTTTTCTCGTTTGAATCTATTGTTTTACATTTTCATTTGGTGTCTGTTATACCTATGCGGTATGGGTTTTGCTCATTGTTGAAGGCCGATGGTGTGACATAACCCATATTTGTTAACTCCTACTTAATTTGATCTGTTTAAGAGATTTGTCATATAGGCAATCATACCATATCGTCTTTTTTATATGTATAAATAATTGTTGCTGAATTATAACTTGATGCAGGAATAGATCATCTTAGCTGTATTTTGGCAAACCTTTTAGGAATTTTGGGTCCTCAGTGCTCTCCAACTTATTTTATTTTTACCTTTTTATAAGAATAAGAAGATGTGGTACGATTGCTAAAGAGACAACTCTCCACAAGAGACCAAAATGACACTGAAATTAACAACTAAAGGTCACCGTACGACCTTCAACAATGAACAAACATCATACCACATAATCAGCTATGGAAGGCCCCAAAAATGACAAATGTTAAACAATTTAAACGAAGAAACTAACGGCCTAATTTATGTAAAAAAATAGGGAACGAATAACCAAATATGCCACACAGCAACAAACGACAACCACTGAATTACAGGCTCCTGAAGGGACATACAGAATATGGCGTTGTTAAACTCATTTGTTGGCGCCAAACCCTCCCCCTACTCTTGTACAGTGGTGTAACAGTAAAACATAAGAAAAAAACCATAAAACTCATCAGATGGATACAAATAGAAATACATCTAACAATAACTCAGAGTGGGCATAGACGGGTACCTATACATCCACACAACAGAAAGACACTACGTACAGATCTGAGAGTACTCTCAGTTACTGAAAGCTAGTTCAAAGCCAAAAACTACCAAAGAAAACTATTCTGCGTCTAAGACTAAAATGTTAATCATTACACATCCAACATCCATTGGAATAAACAGTCATTTCGAAGAAAAGCATAACCTTGTGCAATGCCAAGATACAGGTATCGAAAGATTGTAGAGACATGAATGTGCATATGTATATAAAAAGAATATTTATAAAAAAAGAAAATGTGGTATGATTGCCAATGAGACAACTCTTCACAGAAGACCAAATGACACAGAAATTATCAGCTATAGGTCACCGTAGGGCCTTCTACCAAGAGCAAAGCCCATACCACATAGTCAGCTATAAAAGGCCCCGAAATGACAAATGTGAAACAATTCAAACGCTAAAACTCACGGCCTAATTTATGTACAAAAAAAAGATAAATAAGACTTTGTGTTTTTCATGCAATGTTACAGGAAAAGGAAAGCGCAAAAGCTCTCCCGTTGACAGTATTATAAGAAGATAACATAGAGCAGGTTAGTCATTTTCTGGAATTGCACGGGAATATTTTTGGAAATCCACGTGCTTTTTTTTTTTAATAAATTAGCTGCAGCAGCATTGCCACCTTTAACACAATTGTGAACAGTGCTAAATTTAGAAGGGGAATTTTGATTGACGGTGGTTGAACATGTATATGGAATCAAGTTTTGTGAGCACGTGAATACTGTGAAGGAGTGGTGTATTTTGTTTTCTTACCATTTCGTAAAAGCATGATTAGGTAAGGGTAATCAGAAAATCAAATGAGACCGAAAATCATAACATTGAATAAGGATTACAATAACGGAATATATAAACAATTTATAAAACAGTCGAATAATTTTTTATAAAAAACTATTTGAACAGGCCGACAGGATAACGTTAGTAAATTAAAACAGAAATATGACAACAAAAAGACCCGAGGAAACATTTATATCGTAGTGCATTTAAATAAGACAAAAAACGCGAATTTAAAAAAAAATAACATCTGCTCTTTCCAATACAAATTTCAAATATACAGTGTAGTTATTTAAAATTAGCACAAAATATATCAAAATTATACAAATGTCTGCACAATGTAACTCAAAGTAAGGACAATTTTATGTATAATATAGTTTGACAGCCTCAGATCTAGACATACTAGTTTGTTTACCTTTTCAAACTGGACCAGTTCACTACACAGAAATCGACAATTATAGGTCACCGTATATATTGCCTCTGACAATGATCAAAACCAATATCGCATAGTCAGCTATAAAAGACCCCGAAATGACATCTGCATTTCAATAAATGTCTACATTCATTGTTTTGTTTTGTAATTTATGTTCCCTTTCAAACAATTATATACTCATTATTACATTGAGTCGAGTGCCCTAGAGCATCAAGGTGTGAACATTTTGAAAGACTAAAAACAAGTGAGAATTAAAGTTTCCCCTATAATATGTTGGGATTTGTATTGATTCTATATCTCAGTAGACACTGTGTGAAATGTTTAATATTTTGTTATCAAATAGTGACTTTTGCAAAGATGTTTGAAGTTATTGGATTAGATTTCACAACACACAAAAAATAGTTGACCAGGTAACGAAAGCCAAATAGCAACAACAACAACAATTAAACTAAGATATTAGCTTTAAAAATACACCAAAAAAGTAGTCAAAGAATCCAACCATCCAGCAGTCTTGTATAAACTATTAAAACTAGCCACCCAAAACACATCTCGCAGTGTCTGTATCGTTTCTGAACACAACAGTTCTGAACAGATCATATTATTTATTAAAAAATAAGCTGTTTTTTATTTATCGGATTTTGTTTCTGCTACTATTAAAAATCAACAGGTCTTGAACTCCACAATTCCTGATGAGAAATGAGAAAGCCATCAAAATGGTAGAAACTCAGAATTGCACTGATCGTTGACAAATGATTGTAGCCTCACTCTCTAACCATTCAACATAACAAAGGAGGGGCGAAAAATACCAGAGGGACAGTCAAGATGCACCTATTATGAAAAATGTCAAACTTAATAAACAGAGTATATAAAATGGTTAAACATCCCCTCCTATCAGCTATAGGTCACCGTAGGGCCTTCTACCAAGAGCAAAGCCCATACCACATAGTCAGCTATAAAAGGCCCCGAAATGACAAATGTGAAACAATTCAAACGCTTAAACTCACGGCCTAATTTATGTAGAAAAAAAAGATAAATAAGACTTTGTGTTTTTCATGCAATGTCACAGGAAAAGGAAAACGCAAAAGCTCTCCCGTTGACAGTATTATAAGAAGATAACATAGAGCAGGTTAGTCATTTTCTGGAATTGCACGGGAATATTTTTGGAAATCCACGTGCTTTTTATTTTAATAAATTAGCTGCAGCAGCATTGCCACCTATAACACAATTGTGAACAGTGCTAAATTTAGAAGGGGAATTTCGATTGACGGTGGTTGAACATGTATATGGAATCAAGTTTTGTGAGCACGTGAATACTGTGAAGGAGTGGTGTATTTTGTTTTCTTACCATTTCGTAGAAGCATGATTAGGTAAGGGTAATCAGAAAATCAAAATGAGACCGAAAATCATAACATTGAATAAGGATTACAATAACGGAATATATAAACAATTTATAAAACAGTCGAATAATTTTTTATAAAAAACTATTTGAACAGGCCGACATGATAACGTTAGTAAAACAAAACAGAAATATGACAACAACTGTCCCGAGGAAACATTTATATCGTAGTGCATTTAAATAAGACAGAAAACGCGAATTTAAAAAAAATTACATCTGCTCTTTCCAATACAAATTTCAAATACACAGTGTAGTTTATTAAAATTAGCACAAAATATATCAAAATTATACAAATGTCTGCACAATGTAACTCAAAGTAAGGACAATTTTATGTATAATATAGTTTGACAGCCTCAGATCTAGACATACTAGTTTGTTTACCTTTTCAAACTGGACCAGTTCACTACACAGAAATCGACAATTATAGGTCACCGTATAAATTGCCTCTGACAATGAGCAAAACCAATATCGCATAGTCAGCTATAAAAGACCCCGAAATGACATCTGCATTTCAATAAATGTCTAAATTCATTGTTTTGTTTTGTAATTTATGTTCCCTTTCAAACAATTATATACTCATTATTACATTGAGTCGAGTGCCCTTGAGCATCAAGGTGTGAACATTTTGAAAGACTAAAAACAAGTGAGAATTAAAGTTTCCCCTATAATATGTTGGGATTTGTATTGATTCTATATCTCAGTAGACACTATGTGAAATGCTTAATATTTTGTTATCAAATAGTGACTTTTGCAAAGATGTTTGAAGTTATTGGATTAGATTTCACAACACACAAAAAATAGTTGACCAGGTAACGAAAGCCAAATAGCAACAACAACAACAATTAAACTAAGATATTAGCTTTAAAAATACACCAAAAAAGTAGTCAAAGAATCCAACCATCCAGCAGTCTTGTATAAACTATTAAAACTAGCCACCCAAAACACATCTCGCAGTGTCTGTATCGTTTCTGAACACAATAGTTCTGAACAGATCATATTATTTATTAAAAAATAACCTGTTTTTTATTTATCGGATTTTGTTTCTGCTACTATTAAAAATCAACAGGTCTTGAACTCCACAATTCCTGATGAGAAATGAGAAAGCCATCAAAATGGTAGAAACTCAGAATTGCACTGATCGTTGACAAATGATTGTAGCCTCACTCTCTAACCATTCAACATAACAAAGGAGGGGCGAAAAATACCAGAGGGACAGTCAAGATGCACCTATTATGAAAAATGTCAAACTTAACAAACAGAGTATATAAAATTGTTAAACATCCCCTCCCACCCCCCCTTCCCCCCCCCCAAAAAAAAAAACAATCAAAAACAAAACACCCCCTAAAAAAACAAAAAAACTATCGAAGCCACGGTTAAAAAGCAAGGAACAGTAATTAAAAAAAAACTTTTCTATAATTTTTCAAGTTTGGGTACCAGCTGACTGCGTCATGATTACGCCTATTAACACATGTGCCCGTATCATTGGCATTTTCCACAAAACTTGTTAAAGTTTAAATTGAATTTAAAGGCGAGTGATACTCTCAGATCCTATTCATTCCATTGCTGATATCAAAGAGGTCAACATCTCTAATATTCTACATTTCCTGTCGTATCATCATAGGCAGCTAGTTTACAGAAATACCAACAAATTGAATGTTTTGTTTAGTTGTTGTCTTTTGTTGATGTGGTTCATAAGGGTTTCTCTTTTCTCGTTTTTTTATATAGATTAGATCAGAACAATAGGTCATTCTTTAAGAATCGACTGGGATGAAAATTGCTTAAAGGCATAAAATAATGACCTATATAAGGTAATTATTTTCCTGGTTAAAATGCAAACTTTAATTTACTTTAAAATTCAGTTCGTTTGATAGCTATCGTGTGTTGTTGCCAATTGAGGTTTTACTTTTTAATTTTCCATATTTCGAAGGTTTAAGGCAGAAACAATCCTTTATTCCGTTTCTTAGACTGACATACCGAAAATCGTCGTTGACGCACATTTTAACTTCCGAAACAAATAATGTGAAGTTTTAATAATTTATCGATACAATAAAGGAACATTATGTGAGATGAATTTAATAATGATAAAATCAAGCCAGATTTAACACATAATGTGTAGGGAAAATCGTATTTGTTCTCATTGTACATGTCGAATTGGAAATCATACTTTTACTTAAGGATATATGTTTTTCGTCTTACATGTACATGTATCACGATTTCGTGCTCTCTTCGTGCTTTTTTGTTTACATCTTTATATAGCTTTTACTCTATCTTTTTCTATAGAATAACAGCCACGCATTTTAAAATGGGGAGGGAGTATAATATGTGTTCCTTATTCTGAGTTTTATGTAAAAAAAAAATTGTATTGCCAGACAAAAGTACGGAAGCGTATTAGCGCCACACAATTTTTTTTTGTATTTCTTCCTTTGTTTGCGTTATAACTCAAACCTTTGCGAAACCTTTGCGATATATAATATATAAATAATGTAAACCTTTGCGTTTAACCCAAACCTTTGCGATATAACGCAAACCTTGGCGTTTTAACACAAACCTTTGCAAAATAACGCAAACCTTTGAAAAACATAAGAAAAAGCTTAAAATATATGTTATCTATAACATATTACCTATATGTTTATACCTGAACACATTACTAAACATAGAAATAACCTTTTGTACACATTGAATAATTTGCGTGAAAAAGATAAAATTAATTCGTTTTGGACGCATGACGAGTCCATATAAGAAGAAAAGCTGAAATCCAATCCCTGATCACGAATCAAATAATGACAAAGAATCACGATAGTCTAGCTAATATTAACCTTTGTGCATGTTAAAAAAAGAAGATGCCTTATTCTAAGGTTGCGTTTTTTTCCTAGTAAAAGCACATAAATTAATTAAAACGCACTGTTTCATGAGACGAATGTCTCCTCGTAAAGCACTGCTCAATATTCGGACAATCTTTAAATCCTTGTCATCAGCGTAATCGTTTTCCTTCTGAAAGGAAAAAAAAATATGTGGATGGAGAGTTGTCAACCGAAGGACAGACAACGCCGATTGTATTTATATGTTCATAAATTGTAACACACTAACCAGCATCACTTCCATTGAAGAATTTATGTATACCATGACTAACAATATTATGAATAAAGTACTAAATTGATTAAGCATATGCAAAGAGCAATCTGGCAAAGTCAAATATAACATCTTTTATCATTTTCTCATACCGTATATGTTGGCAAAACGTTAATTAACTAAAAAACCGAACTCCAATGGACACTCAAAACGGAAAGTCCTTTATAAAATGGCAAAATCAAAAGCTCAAATACATCTAACGAATGAAAAACAACTGTCATATTCCTGACCTGGTACAGGCATTTCTTTAGGTAGAAAATGCTGGACTAAACCTGGTTTTAAAACTAGCTAAACCTCTAACTCCATTATATTGACAACAATGTGTGAACAAATCATACAGACATAATAGGTAAGAACGTCGAGAATTGGAGTACAGCAGTCAACTTTGTAATATAATCTCAATCGCTATCAACAAAAATAACTGTATTAATAAAGAAACATAAACATGGCATATAGACAAAGTACATAAGCAAAAATGAAAGACAAAAACTCAAAGTTGACCATAGCACTATGGTGGGATGTATAAGTACCGATCCACGTCATAAGTTTATAATCATAAATAGATAAACAGGAAAGGTTACAAATATACAAGGATAAATAGGAGAACTTATACACATAATTAAGATGATATACAACGTCAGTACCTGGAATCTATACTTCAGGACCATCATGTAATATTTGTGAAGTTGATACGGAATATATGTCAACAAGGTCTTGGTATCTTCCGATGAACTTTTTTTTAGAAAAAAAATGAGGAATTATTTAACATAACCTTCGCTCATAAACTTTCTGCTCAGACACCGGTGACGTTTTATAAAATCTGAGTAGCAGCTGCTAGCTTTTGAATACCTAATGAGTTGGGCAATGTGTATCAAATATGCAGGTGAAGTTGGTATATTGCTGCTAAGGTGGGAAAAATTTATAATTACAAATATAAACGGTCACGCTTGTCATATATTCTGGTATTGAGATGACCTCTTGAATCAAATTCGAGGTAATAGTCTAAAAATAAGGCGGAGGAAGACATATCTGTTGTTTCTTTAATTTCTAGTTCTGGAGGATATATTAATGGAACCCAATCAGAAATGTTTGAATTGTTTATGGACAGAACATCATCAGTATATCTGAATGTGAAATTAATGGTCGGGGTTCTTTGATTTTACATTACCGATACACATATTAGTAAGTTGAAGTGATCAATCTTAATGGTAAACTATTTTGGTCGAATGTAAACTAACACCGCCATGGCTAAAAAAGAAAAAGACCAACAGACAAATAATGGTACACAAAACACAACATGGAAAACTAAAAACTGAGCAACACGAACCCTACAAAAAACTGGGGCTGATCTCAGGTGCTCTGGAAGGCACATGACATGCTTTCAGGGAAGCATATCCTGCTCTACATGTTGCATTCATCGTGTTACTCATGTTAGTACAAACCCGGTTTTTTAAAAGTCTTATTTGGTAGGTCACATTCGGAAAAATGGGGCGGGATTGTAGTTACCAAATTAGGAACATATCCGATATTATCTGTGAAACGGATAATCCATAAGGGTCAACCAACTCGTGATGTCGTCCGTAAAACTTAAGAAGGGATGCTTTCAGCTTCACCACTTGAAACTCTTGGTTTAATAGCTTCCTTGTCAGCAGCAACCCTCTATCAAGGGAATCATGATAGGAAATACAAGCCCTGGAATATCGTATCAACTGGGGGATATATACTCTGTATGGAGGTTCTGCTGGAATGTTGGTACATAGAAATGGAAAGTTCACATCTATATTAAAGCTTTGTTTTTAAACTGACCTCGTTGTCTATTTCTAGATGCTAGTCAAGATAGGAGGCATACTTAAGTGTATCTAGTGTATCATTATCTTAAGTTATATGGGTTAGATGCGTCTAGCATAGTCACCAAATTTTGAATTATTTAATGAGAGAAGATTATCTTTATAGCGGAAAGTAAAGTTACAGGATACTGCTCACTACGTTTCTTTCTTCCTAAGAAGTTCATTTATTAAATCAGCCTTATATGAATAAAGGAACAAGTTTACAAGAAAAGGGGCAAAGTCGGTTCCCATGGGAATGCCGATTGTTTTTTGAAAAACACGTCCTCCAAACGTAACAAATGTTGTCATCAAGAAATCAAGCATCTTGATAATGTCAGTTTCAGAGAATTTTTTGTTTGAACTAGAGTTATTATTTTACAAAGTAGGATTTATCTCTCCGAAAGACAAGAGACTTATATCTACATTGGCCATTTTTTAATGAAACAAAGCAGGACCAACTCTTTGGCGAATACTTAATCGTGTAAAGTGTAGAAAAGTAAAAATTGTTTTAATACTATTGCAAGATGAAAGAGTCTTAGATTGTATGAACTACAAAAGATCTTTGGAATTTGTTAGTAACCACATCTGATTCACACCTCAAGAATATGTAGTTCCACAATAATGCTTTGATTGCTGATATAATTGATTTTAATAATTTAAAAAAAAAGGTATTGTGGAGCACTGGGAAGACCCAGCAATATACCGTTGTTTGTACGGACACTTATGTAGTTTAGGTATCCAATACAGTGATGAAAGATTGAGTTCTTCATCTTTGGTTGAAAAAGAAAATAGAACAGACCTATGATTATACAGCATTTCCTCTTAATAGTAAGTGTTGTCGGGGTATATGTTGAGTTTCAAAGTGAATTATCAATACCTTATTCATTTATCAAGCAGTGTATGAACAAAAACGATGTTGTTAGAGGCTTTATCTTCGTGGACAACAACATGCAAACAGGGACATAAAAAGTAGCAAAACTTACCTAAGGTCAACATGAGGAAGTTGAAACCTCTGTTTCTTTACAATTTTACATCTTATTAACGGCAGATTAGAGATGATTTATTGTTGGTTGCTTAACGCCCAGTGGCAAATATTTCATAAATGTGCAGGACGAGAACAAATTAACAATAATACAAAAGGAAGGTCCTGTACCTGCATATGGGATATACATTTCCCAACTTATTCGGTATTCAAGAGCTTGTAGCTACTACTCAGATTTTGTAAAACGTCACCAGTGTCTGAGCAGAAAGTTGATGAAACAGGGGTATGTCAAAGAACGTCTCGTCCTCTTTCTAAAAAAGTTCATCGGAAGGTACCAAGACATTGTTGATAAATATTCAGTATCAACTTCACAAATAATACACGATGGTCTTGAAGTATAGATTCTATGTTTATCATCTAAATAACGTGTTATAGTATTCTTTTATTTGTCTTAATGAATATTACTTTTACTGTTTTGTCTGTTTTTTGTGATATCCATTTAACGTAGCTCTGTACTTATACATCCCGTCATTGTGTTATTGTTCAATTGTAAAATTTTTGTATTCATGTCTTTCATTTTGTGTGCTTTGTGTATATGCCTTTTTGTGTTTCTTTGTTACATAGGACGTGGCTCTGTACTTATACATCCCGTCATTGTGTTATTGTGCTATGGTAAATATTGTATTCTTGTCTCTCATTTTCACTAATGTGCTTTGTCTATATGCCTTTTTGTGTTTCTTTGTTAAATATTTATTTGTTTTTATAGTGATTAAGATTATAACACAATGTTGACTGCTGTACCCCAATTTTTTAGATTTTTACCTAGTATGTCTGTTTGTTTTGTTCACACATCGTTGTCAATATAATGGAATTTTATGCGACTGTCATACAAGAGGGAGGTTTAGCTAGCTATAAAACCATGTTTAATGCTCCTTTTTGTTCATAAGGAAATGCCTGTACCAAGTCAGGAATATGACAGTTGTTACCCATTCGTTTGATGTGTTTGAGTTTTTGATTTTGCCATTTGATTAGGGACTTTCCGTCTTGAATTTTCCTCGGCGTTCGGTATTTTTGTGATTTTTCCTTTTTATTACAAGTATCTCTGAAACTGGAATGATGAGTACACTGTTGCACATAACTTAATGTGAAGTGCAATTTGTGAATTGCGTGACATATTGTGTCTTACATACACACACGCTCGTTTCAGTTTTCCGGTCTTGAAATTATTTTTGGGAATGTTTCTTATAGTTCACTAGAAGAATGAACGTTTTACATAAACATTACATTTTGTTATTAGATATTACCTTAGGCTCATCAGACTGGAGTTTTAACTGTCTGTCCATATAATTCCTCAATTTGTTAGCTATATTTTTGGATGTATTCGGATTTTTATCAGGTTCAGATATAATGTCTTCTGGTCGTCTGCCCCTAGAAATATATTTTACATTTAGGTAATTTTTACAAAATCATATATATATTTATATAAAAGGGCACAAATTGATTACAACAGCCTTCTGATATGTGTAACAGTTAGGTTCTTGTTTATCAAAAAGCAAAATTTAAAAAAGCTCAAACACATCTAACGAATGGAAAACAACTGTCAATTCCTGACTTGGTACAGGGATTTCCTTATGTAGATTATGTTGGATTAAACCTGGTTTTATAGATAGAAACCTCTCACTTGTATGACAGTCGCTTAGAATTCCATTATATTGACAACAATGTGTGATCAATACAAACAGACATAAAACATAAATGGATTTTAAAACCAGCCAATTGACATCAGATCTTCTGTCTGCATAAAGACTAGAAAATACATGGTCTAGTGAATTAATTATTGATAAAAAAGGATAACAAACATACCGAACATCAAGGCATATGCAAAAAGATATGGTCATAAAACCTGACAAAATCAAACGCTACCAATCAACGGAACAAGGGAAAAATATTTGCCATATATCTGACTTAGTACAAGCATTTTCCGAAGTAATGGTTGGTTAACTCTGGTTTTATAGCTAGCTTAACCTCCCGTGTATGACAGTTGTCTATAGTTCCGTTATATTAACAAAATAGGGTAAGCAACCCAAACAAACATACTAAATTATTGTGTACATGATTGGGATCCAGTAGTCAATATATTGATTGATGATTGATTGTTGTTTGCTTTACGCCGCATCAGCACAGAAAGGCTATATCGCGGCGAGAGCTAATTCGAATATTATAACAATTTAAGGTATATTTTTAAAATCAGACAAAAGGTCTTTCAATAAACTAAAATTCTAGACTAAAGCAAATTGATTATTTACAAATAAAAATCAACACTAAGATAACGTGATAAAAATTAAAATCGTTTTAAATATAACAACATTTTTATATTTTAGAATATATTCCAATTTCTTTTAAGAATGAAACAATATTTGTAAATGGAATATTATTAAATAAATCATACATATTATTGACATTGAAATGCTTCTTTCGAATATCAGCAAAGTCAATACAATTGATTAAAACATGTTTAATAGTATACTTGCAGTTACAAGGTATACATTGTGGTTCTACTTCATTTTTTAAAAGATATTCGTGTGTTATTCTAGTATGACCAATACGACATCTAGAAATAACACACTGATCTTTTCTGCACATAAAATTATTGAAAGGTTTACATAAATTAGGTTTAATTTCATGTAATTTATTACCATCTTTTTTACTCCATTCATTTTTCAATATATTAAAAACATATTCTCTAATATTAGATTTAAAATCGGTATATGGTATATCACAGTTAGATAAAGGGTCACCCAGGGCATTCTTTGCCTCAAGGTCTACAGCTGTGTTTCCAAGGATTCCAACATGACTCGGCACCCATAGAAATAATATTTCTTTAAGAAGAATTTTTAAATTCCTCATTACATATAAAATTTTGAGAATTGTTGGGTTTTTTATTTTAGTATTTTGTATAGCTTGTAAGCATGAAAGTGAATCAGAACATATAATAAATTTGGATTTATCTGAAGAAGCAATAAATTTCAAAGCCAAAATTATTGCTTCTGCTTCAGCAGTAAAGATCGATGCATCAGATGGCAAACGGAGAGTTGCAGCTCTGTCCCTGAAGACAGCAGCAGATGCAACTCTGTCACCATCTTTTGATCCATCAGTATAGACAGTTGAAAAATCTGAATAATTGGCTTTGATTTCAGCATAGTGTTGCTGAATTAAAAGAGGATTTGTTTTATTTTTATTGTGTTCACGGAGATCAAATATCATTTTTGGTTTGGGAAGTTCCCATGGAGGACATTTGCAAGTTTCAACTTGAGCAACAGATTTTAAATCAAAAGAAGCTAAATGTGGTTTTAAACGTATACCTAACGGAGGAATTTTATTTTCATGTTTTGCAAAAATATCTTCATAAATTGGATTAAAAACACAGCTGTAGGCAGGATTATCTGAGTAGGCTTTTAGTTTGACAGCATATTGAAGTCCAAGCTTCAAACGTCTGTTAGAGAGTGAGTGCTCATCAGCCTCTACATACAGACTCTCAACTGGTGAGGTTTTAAATGCGCCAAGACAGAGACGCAAACCCTGATGATGCACAGCATCGAGAATCTGTATGTAGGACTTCCTTGCAGAGCCATACACTATAGAGCCATAATCTAGTTTAGATCTAACTAGAGATCTATATAAATTAAGTAAAATGTTGCGATCAGCACCCCAGTCGGTGCTGCCGACAACTTTTAAAATATCTAATGCTTTTAAACATTTCGATTTTAACATTTTGATATGGGGTAGAAAGGTTAACTTTTTATCGAAAATTAACCCAAGAAATTTGGTTTCATCAACCATTTTAATTGGGTTGCCGTACAAAGTGAGTTCTGGATCAAGATGCAATTTCCTTTTGTTACAAAAATGCATCCCGACCGTTTTTGAAATGGAAAATTTAAACCCATTTTCCGAGGCCCATTTTTCAATTCTTCCAAGACATAACTGTAATTGTCTTTCTATGTTATTCATATTTTTGCCTCTATAACATATTAAAAAGTCATCAACATACAATGAACCTTCAATATTACTTTTTAAAACTTCAACAAGGCTGTTGATTTTAAGACTAAATAATGTAACAGATAAAATACTGCCCTGAGGGACACCCATCTCTTGATCATACAGATCAGACATGGTTGAATTTACTCTAACATTAAATTGTCTGTTAGATAAAAAATTCGAAATAAAATTTGGCATATTGCCTTTCAACCCCATATCAAACAGATCTTTTAAAATACCATACTTCCATGTAGTATCATAGGCTTTTTCTAGATCGAAAAAGACCGACACTACATGTTCATTTTTCGCAAAACCATTACGGACAAATGATTCGAATCGAACAAGATGGTCAAGAGTACTGCGACCTTGACGGAATCCACACTGGATATTGGCTAAAAGCCCATTGGATTCCAGGAACCAAACAAGGCGATCATTAACCATCCGTTCTAGTGTTTTACAGACACAACTGGTAAGAGCAATTGGCCGATAATTAATAGGATCCGTGTGATCTTTACTTGGTTTTGGAATAGGCACGACGGTTGCAAGCTTCCAGATTGATGGTAAATCACCAGATTCCCAGATGTTATTCATAAGCTGCAAAAGAGCTTCCAGCGAGGAATCTGGCAAGTGTTTTAACAGTTGGTAGTGAATATTATCAGGCCCACAAGCTGTATCATGGGCTTTTGATAGAGATGTTTTAAGTTCTTCAAGAGAAAAGAGTTTATTATAATTTTCACCATTTTTTGATTTAAAGTTTAATTTAATTTTTTCTTTTTGTTTTTTAACTTTTTTAAAATCTTCCCTGTAGTTGTTAGAAGAAGAAGATTTCGCAAAAGTTTCACCAAGCTTGTTGGCAATATCCTTTTCAGATGTTAATAAATCATTGCCATTTTTTAAATGTTTAACTGTGGCTTTAGAATTTTTACCTTTTATCTTTTGTATCATGTTCCATACTTTTGTCATCGGAGTGCGAGATGTTATCTCCGAGACAAATTTCTTCCAAGACGTTCGTCGTGCTTGCCTGCAAGTCCGCCGTGCCTTAGCGCGAAAAACACGGAAATTACTCAAGTTTTCTGTCGTTGGTTGTTGGTTGAACCGTCTTTCAGATTTTTTACGGTCACCTATTGCTTGATCACAAGCATCATCAAACCATGGTTTGCTGGGATGTTTCGGATTTGCCGAGGTCTTAGGAATAGTTCTGTCAGCAATTGACGTTAAAACTGTATTAAAAGTTAAAATTGGATCTTGTACAGTCTCAAACATCTTTGACTGAAGTTCCGCTTGACAGAGATTCTCAAACAAGGACCAATCCGCCTTGTCAAGTTTCAAACGTGGTACTCTCTGTTGGGCAGAAGTAAAAAGATGTTCAAGTACTATTGGAAAGTGATCACTTCCACATAGATCATCATGAACACGCCATGAATAATCCAGAAGAAGAGAGGGATCGCAAATAGTGATATCAATAGCAGAATAAGACCCGTTTCCAGGATGAAGATAAGTATTAGATCCATCATTAAAAATGCATAATCCTTCTTGAGAGACAAAGTCCTCAATGATCTTACCTTTGATATTATGAGACTTGCTTCCCCACAAGGGGTTGTGTGCATTGAAGTCGCCCATAAGTATAAATGGTGAGGGTAATTGATCAGTGAGGTTTTTGAGTTTAGCTTTATCGATAATTGAATTGGGTGGAATATATATAGAACATAAAGTAATTGTTTTATCTAATGATAAACGAATTGCAACTGCCTGCAGATCCGTGGTGAGTTGGACTGTGCTATGAATGACGTTGTCCTTCACAAAAATGGATGATCCGCCTGCAGCACGTTCATCTACCTTAGAAAATGTGCTATACATGTTGTATCCTTTTAAAGATACATTGTCACTTTCTTTTAAATGAGTTTCTTGAAGACAAAATGCAGTAGGTAAAAAAGACTGAACTAGAAGCGTTAACTCGAGAAGATTTATTTTAAGACCTCGGCAATTCCATTGGATGATATTAGTCATGTTTTGTTAATAGACGGGCGAATGCTATCGAGTTTGCCAGCATTCTTATTTCGCTCACCCTGAGATTGTAATCTTTCGGGTGGCGGAACACTTTCGATTTCCATTTCTGATTCGTCGTTAAGTGTTGAAAATCTGTTGTGTGAGGAGAGTCGTCGATCTCCAGGACCATGCGCAGCTGGTTTTACTCCGCCTCGACCCCTACCCCGCGACCTCGAATCAGAAGACTTCTGAGAGGATGTATTTACTGGCTTCTTTTGGACATCCTTCTTTTCTGGAGAACGAAGAGGAGACGGGGCTCTAGTAGACTTTGTACTGGGTGTAGAAGATAACTTTTTAGATGCAGATGAAGGAAGACTATTTGAGATGGAAGAATCATCTATGTCATT